TTAAAGGGCATTCCCTCATCCCAAATTTGTACAGCACTGAACACAACTCTTTGATGGGCATGAAAAGGATGAGATACAAATCATGTCCCCTTCTCCCTTTCAACAAATGTTTCACCTTTCATGCCAGTTGCTTCTTACTGAGACAAAGATTGTGCTGTATTGCTGTGTAGTACATAACAGCATTTACCACAGGCAATTTGAAATAATATTACCTTTGATGTTTTCAACAGTAAATACAATCTATACTCATTATTCATCTCTCAATCTCTCTTGTGGCTGCCTCTGTGCCACCAATGGACCATGGCAACCAATGGAATTGCCAGCCAAAAAAATATTTAAATGCTGCACACAGACAGGGCAGTCATAATTCACCGCTAAAGCCAAGTTCCTCCCGCAGGCCTCCACACACACACATACACACAGGCCTAGCTATAATACAAGGAATAAAGCTGAGAATATTTTACTCAAAACATACATAAAAATCCACAATGCCTCACTTGCATTGAAAGGAATTACGTTGCACTCAGGACCATAAGGGCGTACCCCCACCCCCACTGGTGATACAATTGGGCCATATTGTGCAAACAGATAGAGACATTGAGATGGCAACAGCCTGAAGAAGACAACTCAACAGAAAGACCATTATAGAAAAAAACTTTGCCTGACAAGACCACCATCCTCTGAGAACAGCACAAGTTCAACATCTGAATCATATGACAATTACTACTCAATATAAAATATAAAAGTCATTATATGGGTGAATAAACATTGGAAATAGATTTCCTTCAATATATATATAATTGCAACATCTCTGATCAGGACTTGATAGAAGCAATGCATTCCATTAACTGGCATGACTAAATGCATACAAACACACCACACAAAAAAACACATCATGTAGTGAAGTTGATCTATTATGTCAAAAATGATCTTGAGTTTTGTTACATCAACTGCTCTTTTTGTATCTATAAACATATAACACATCTAAACACAGACTCATCTTATGTAGTCATTACTTCGTAGACCAGGCATCTTTTGGCACAATATCGTGGGGAGGAAATCGTGCAGAAGTCCATAAAACAACTTTCTGACATTAGAGAAGCACTCAGAGCTCACAAATTAAAAGGCAATGCCCCATAAATCATCCCAGGCACCAAGAAGCGTTCACATTACACTCACCTGTTCAGCACATGAAACACCCGCGATGCCACCTCCAATAATCAGGTATGTGCATTTTTCTTCTGCCATTTCTATTACTTAACTCTATACTTTACCAGCCAACTGTTATTAGCACTACACCAGACTACCAGCACTACCAGCCAACTGCTATGACCACTAACACTACACATACACCACGTCTCAACACTCACCCGCCTTCATGCCTAGAGTAAAAGCCAATTTTGTGGCTGATGCGCCATGAACGCTGTTGACGGCTTTGCTCAGCGTATTTATTCTCGTAAGCTAAAAAACATCATGAGTAGAGAGGATCTACCGTAAAGCTACCAAACAAAGAGTTCTGCTCCTGGTTTGCGCAGCGCTCGCAGGCGAGCAGCAGTCCAAACAGAAAACCTCTTTATTTGGTACTTCCTACGGCAGATTTCCTCCGCTTGCGGTGTTTTCATATTTACTAGAATAAGTACTTCTTCTTCACACTTGCATCCCCATCAGTTATTGGTGTGGTGGTTCGTGTGTTTTGGGCTGCAGGGTGGTCCGTTTGGGTTCGGGTGCTGCTTAGATCACGTGTAGTTGCGTGAATACTGTTCGAATTCACCGTTCCGACTTAATGGATCTCTTCTGAGGAAATATTCTATGTAACAATTATTTGCAGGTCGATAATCGCCGGGGCTGGGCCGCTTGCTGGGATTGTTTTTTATTGCTGCAGCACACTAAAAAATTCGCTGACATTCTCACATAAGGTAAGAAGCAATGGCCCGATCAGAGTAAATCTTTTTATCTTACTTTGCAACAATATGAAACACAGTTTCATTCTTTTGTCTTGACATGCACATGGGTGACACCATCAAATTTTTGTAAGTTTCCATCCATATTTGTGGCTTTCTAAGTGGGTCTCTGGCCTACTATCAAGTCTCGTATGCACAGATCCCTCAGATTTGCTATGCTCCTTTCTACAGGATGCCTGGATACCCATTTTGCTTGAATAAAGCCCTCATTTGCTGTTGTGGGCCTCACTGATATGCACATAACATATGTGCCTGTGCTAGTGAAGGCATGCTGGGGGGAAAGCCTGTCATCATAAATGTTTTTTACTGTTAGCTCAGGATCAGGCTCACAATATTGAAAAGGAAAGGGAGGTCCTACTCCAGAAATTTGCAGACCTTCAGCTTTACAAGATGTTATTTGATGTAATGTGTAGGAACATCCAGGCCAGCAATTTAACCTCCTTTGGGTTGCAATTTAATTCAACCTTTGGGCAGCTATAGTGGAAGGAATACTAGCATCTGTTAAGTGAGTGGCAAAGACATAGGGTGGAGGCCCATCACCAAATGGGTTTAATTCCCTCCCAACTTTCAATGTCACATTTGTGGATATATGGTGGGAGAGGGCAAGTTTTGTACCAGTTGGTCTTGTTTTTGCATCCTGTGTTAGGTTAGAAATCCATTGCTGCTGCTATGGAGCCTAGCAAAATAGGTGCTGGGCTGGAGATGTTGATGCAGTTGAGTGGCCGTGCTGGCAGCTGTGCCACTCATCTTTGAATGAATAGTTTGAGCTTTTGGAACAAGCACTGATTTAATTACTGGTTCATTGTGCCTTATTGAGAACAAAAGATTTGCTGTAAAATGTTTTTGAAAATGTGTCTGAATCCGCTTCAGCAAAGGAGCAGGCAAGTTTTGGTCCTAGTTTATCAATTAACTGACATTGTCACAGCTGGTGAAGGTTGAAGTACCTGCCTACTAAAAGTAAAGTGCAATATAAAGGTGTGAAAATGGTGTGAAAATATTGATGGTATGTTCTAAGCTAATCCACATTCTAGAGAGGGTTGCTGACCTTCTGAGCTTTTCTACTACTTGTGGATATGGGAGAGTCAATGTTGTGTCAGATGTTGCTGTGTTGTTCTGACTGCTTTTTCCCCTTGTGTTTCACAGGCAACTACGTAAAGAACATTTGAATTCAAACCAGGACACAAAGAGCTGAATTGTGCTTCACTTGCCAATGGAGCAAGGAGCCAGTAAGTTTCTGGGAGTTTTGGGAGTTTGGTCCATAGCTTGAATGATACAGCCGGTATTCTGACCTTTTACCGTGCTTCTGCCGAAAAACCTCCGCATCGGCAAGAATTGGAGCATGTGTGCGTTGGCTGACAAGCTTCGAGTACGCAATGTGATTGTCAGTTAATCCTTGGTGGATGTGTAACGAAATGGTAACCTCCTCCCCCCCCCCCCCCCCCGATTCCCGCAGTTTTCCGACGGCGTTCAAAGCTATGAATGACATCATTGCCAGATTTGGAACGGCTATTATTGCATAGTTGTGCGGTTTACACAAAATGGCCCACGCGACTCGGATGTTAGAGGTCTCATCTGATATCGTTTTTGTAGCACTCCGGAGCGATTTTCGCGTCAAGTGCCCCTTTGATTGCCTACGGCAAGTCATATTTATCTGGTAGTATGTGGGCACGGACTGACGGTTTTCAGCGAACTGGTCAGAACTCGCTATGGATCATTGGTCCGAATATTCAAGTGTACTTCTCTGGACACCTGAATGCGGCAGCGAAACCGATTGTTCTGCTTAAGTGGGCAGAGGTTTGCCGCCAATCAAAACCTGTTGAACATGACGCGTTTGGACGCTTCTTTCCCTGCAACGCGATTGACGTAATGTCAATATCGCGTGGTATGGCGGAGTTGTACCCTTCATCCGTGATGTGAATGACGCTATCGCAGTATGCCGCCACTGCTTCCCTCGACTGCTGCAGTCTGCCCGAAGAATCTTCAAGCAAGGGGTAATTCTGAGACAGTTCGTAGATGGATCACGTCCCACTGAGTTACTGCGTTCTGAAGTACGGTGGTTTGATAGCCGAGTAAAAAGCGTTCTTCAGGGCCTGTACTCTATCGATATTTGGGGGACTTCTATTCAAGTAATATTTTTATAGATGAAAGTGTACTCCTTGTTGTGCACGTTTTCGAAATGCCTGCTACTTCGGCTCCCGGTCTTACGTTCGGTGGTCGTTCTCAACTAAGTTTAAACACATGCCACACCTGATAACGCAGGCTGTGGGCGGCTCTTTTATCTGGCCGCATTTTGTAACAATCATTACCTATAAGATTCACTTTAGAATGGGTGGCACCAGGATAGGGAAAGTCGGGCACTCCCACTATCATCGTGCATGCAGCCAGTGTAATTTGTCGGAGAACGCATGATCGGAACGGTCATTCATTTCTGAATCCATATTTCGCTTTTGCAGTTCTGTATCTAAAAGGAGATGGTTTGCGCCCTTGCGTGAAAGAAATTCTGAATGACGGCATGCAATGCGCTGTACCGCTGTGTGTGGCCTTCAAATAAAGCACCCAGACTATATGTGGCGCGTTTAAGTGGTTCTCCGATAAAAGTGGTTGGCTGCCATCCTTCCCGCTCTGTATCCACGGCTGGAACTGGACAAAAAAGATAGAGCGTTCCCGAAATCGTCTGCCGGAGGCGACTCCTGGTTTCGGACACTCCTGCGGTGGGTGTTTACCAAATTCGAAATTGGGCTGTTCTCGTAGCACGTACGTCTATACCTTTCGCGCATGTTGCCTTGAAACTGGTAAGGTGAACTTCTGGCTCACTGCACAATTGCAGGACAACTTCATCTGGGCACGACGTTTGATGTCTTTGAATTGCTTGTGTTTCAGATCGTCAGAGTCAGACAGGTCCAGTTAGTCTCTCGTCATGTGGAAGATCGGAAGCGCCAGACGGTGGCGTGAATTCGCCGCACAGGCGCGCTTCGCCAGCCATCGGCGGCGGTCGCCGATACAGGACACGCTCGTCCGGTCGTGACCAGGCTGTGCGTGGTGACGTCAGTGACTCCGACTCCGACTGCAGTGGCACACGTTCGGAGGACAGTCGCAAAAGGAAGAGACGCGACTCCGAACCGGAGTCTCACAGCGCCCTCCAGGGGACAAGCTCTTCCGAGTCCGAAGTGGCGGCAACGGCGATCTCGTCTGGTGTTCGCGGGGGGCGCAAGGACAAGCTTCAGGAGAAATCTCATCACGAACGTACGCGTAACGGCATAGGGTCACATCAGTGTCAGGTGTGTGGAAAAGCGTTTACCTACGTTAAAGGCCTCCGCACGCATCAGGCAACCCATTTGGGTGAGAAATCACACAAATGCGATCTCTGCGGCAAAAGTTTTGTTAGGAAAGATGTGTGCGTCAGGCATCGCAGAACCCATGCGGCGGAAAGGCCAAGGCTCCATGACTGTCAGTATTGTGGGAAAGATTTTCCCGGGCCAAATGAGCTAAAGAAACATGTTGTCATTCACTCTCATGAACGACCCTATGCGTGCGATCTTTGTGAGAATGCATTTATCTTGAAAGGCGATTTGAAAAAGCATCGCAGCACACATACGAATGAAAAGCCATTTAAGTGCAAGGAGTGCAAACGGGGATTCGCTAGAGGAACAACACTTCGGAAGCATCTCATGACCCACACTGGTGAAAAGTCACACAAGTGCGAGATTTGTGGCCAACGCTTTTCCCGAAGAGATGTCTTGTTATTGCACGAACGCTGTCATACTGGCGAGCTTCCTTTTGCATGTGATGTGTGTGGAAAGCGCTTCCAGCAAAAGAGCTATTTAATTAGCCATTGCAACACCCGTAAATGTGCTCGGTCGAGCTCATCACCCAGTGATGATAGTGGTGTGGAGAAATGACCATTACCAGAGAATGTCGCACCGAGTGCCGTGAGTAAGACGAGTGAAAGAAACAGTGTTGCTTGACTTCCGATCATCATTTACAGGGTGCGTGTCACGTTCCCACTTGAATTTTAGTCATTGAAACGTCTTGTCGCTCGTGAGACGATCAATTCTATACAGTGCGCTGGCTTGCCATTCCCCTTTTGGGGGTAGCAACCATCTTTTGTTTGGTGTACCCTGCTTCCATGTTGAATTGGAGCCACGTGTGCACGATTTGTCCGAGGTGTGGTACGTGGCCCCGTGCACTGCGAGGTGACGGTTCGTTTGGAATGTGCGGGCTTGAGGTATGGTCACGTGAAAGTGTGTGCCAACGTTCGCTGTGCAACTCAGGGCATGTGGTCGCACATAATAAAATGACAATATTTGTGTCGGAGCGCTGTGGGCAGTTTGTCAGCGGTACGAAAGTCTCCATGAACGTGATCGAGAGACTCGATAAAGTTCGGTGCCCGGATAATTCCACCGCCGGTACATAAGCTCTACAGCACTAAAATATCCGGCCGGGCGCGCGGCTAAACGCGACCCGCTTGGATGGGCGGGAGGGGGCGAGTCACTGCTGACCCCTCTAAGGTCTTGAAAGCGACTAAGAAAGCTAGAGACACTTAGCGTGTGGGGTGGGAAGTGCCCGAAGTGGACTCGCCTGTGTCGAGAAGTTTGCATTCCTAGTTCGTTACCCATTGGCCAAATATTATTAAACAATGCCAAACTCGTGCTCGGTGCCGGCATCGCCCCCAGTCATCCTACGCAGCTAGCTCTAACCTACATTCCCTGTCTAAGCAAATGGCCACGTATGTATACCATGTCATGATTTCATTTGGCCTATACACTGTCAACCGATGTAAATCTCGCATCAGCATACATTACCTGTTAGTTCCGGTCACCCCTTGACAGCGAGGACCTAACGGCTTCCTGTCTCCACATTGGGTGATAACCATAAAACGGCTGCCCAGGACAACTGATAAATCGAGCTGGGAAATTGCGGCTCGGTGCACTCCGTAGGACTAGTGTACCGTTGTCAGCTGCCATTACAACACACCCGTACGATTTTTGTTTTGATTGTTTCCGGTCAATCCCGCAGCGCATCACCTCATCACTTGCTGGTTGGGCAGAAGGGTGATTTGCAAAGATACGACGTCCAATGTGACATATTTTTGCTTGTGTGCGGAAGGTATAAGCAAGCCGTAACGATGCTGGTGTGGAAAAACTATCGGCCCGCAATGTAAATCTCACTTCGGTAGATATGGCCTTTTTTGTTGAGATCATTCCCTGACCCCGCGCCGTGGGAAACTTCTCTGTAAAAACCTTCGCGCCGGGGGGGGGGGGGGGGGCAAGTTGAACCCCCAGCCGAACGCATGCTAAAACTATTAGTCGTTCGTGGCCGGCGCGCCTTTGTGCACATGATAGCACTGTGAGGACACTTCCAACTGGGAACGTTAATCGATTGACGGCCAATACCACCTATTTCGTTGAGATTGAACCTCAACTAATGCTGCTGAATGCGGCAGACAGGCCGGGTGTAAAGCGGCGAACATACGGCAGCCATCGCAAAGGCTTGACTACGCGTGGAGAGTATAGCCAAGCGCCCTTGGCTGCGATGCTTGTAGGGTTATGATCAGCACTTGTAGAGTTATGATCTGGCACCAAGGCGTGCTCGCCGGCCGAGGGCATCCATTTCATTGCGATGACTCCTGACAGCGCATCACTCAATGTTGTCGGGTTGACCGGGACATAGATTTACGAAGATACAGCTGTATATTAAAAACAAGTGTTGCCGTGTACGGCTACAATTCGGGCCTTACCTCAGTCGGGCCGTATGCGTATGATACCACTGTAGGGACACTTAAAGCCGGTAACGTAAATCAGCT